CCACCAACGGATGATCCACTTCCTCTCGTTACTTTTGATGAGGTGAAAACCATCATCAAAAATCTCAAACCCCGAAAAGCGCCAGGCGCTGACGGCATAAATAATAAAGTTTTTAAAGCCCTTCCCCCTAAGTTGATTTGCCTCCTAGTGGCTATTTTCAATGTTTTAATGTCCACCTGCACCTTTCCAGAAGTGTGGAAAGAAGCAGAAGTCATCGGTATTCCCAAACCGAACAAACCCAGAGATAGGGCATCTAGTTATAGACCTATCAGTCTCCTCAATGCTATGGAGAAAATCTATGAGCGCATCATCCTCAGCCGTCTGAAGGATGCAGTGCTAAGTAAAAACCTCATTCCAAACGAGCAGTTTGGCTTTCGAGCCAAACACTCAAGTGTCCTGCAGATGCACCGCCTCACGGAGCACATTTTAGATCAGTCCGCAAAGGCAAACAAGCGCCCTGTATACACAGGAGCACTGTTCTTCGATGTGGCCAAGGCCTTCGACAAAGTTTGGCACAATGGACTAGTCTTCAAACTTATCCATACAGGTGTCCCCTTAAGACTTGTCAAAATCGTTCAAGATTTTCTTGCTAATAGGTCCTTTCGTTTTCGCGTGGAGGGTACTTTCTCCTCTTCCAGACCAATCAGAGCAGGAGTTCCCCATGGCTCTGTGCTCTCCCCGACCCTATACTCACTCTACGTAAATGACATCCCCTTGATACCAGGTACTCATCTCGCGCTATACGCGGATGATACTACCATCTATTCCTCAGACGTCCACCCGGTTATAATCTGCAGTCGACTCTAAGCTGCAGCAAACGCATTAGGCGATTGGTGCAGAAAATGGAGAGTCGAACTTAACCCCGATAAAAGCAAAGCCATCTTTTTTAACAGAAGGTGTGCTTATAACAAATTAATGGCGCGGATTAAAAAATATAAAAAAGGTACGATCTCCCTCTACGACAGCCCAATCCCATGGGTCCGAGAGGTGAAATACCTGGGGGTGACTTTAGATTGTGCAATGAGCTTCTCTCATCACATTAAAACAGTTAGGAATAAGACAAAATTCGTAGTATATCGTCTCTTCGCCTTAACCAACAAAAGCAGTAAGCTGTCCCTAAGACACAAACTGCATCTCTATAAAACCTGCGTACGTCCTATTATGACATACGCGGGTGTGTCCTTTGCTCACGTCTCCAAAAAGAGTCTAAAACAATTTCAAGTTGTTCAAAATAAATTCCTGCGTCAGATCACAGGAGCTCTCTACTATGTGAGGAACGCGGATCTTCACCGCGACCTCGACTTGCCCTCTATCCATTCGTATCTTAAGGAATTATCCTTAAGATACTTCGATTCGATCAAGGAACACGAAAATCCGTTGGTGAATGAGGCGGACTCGTACTCCCCAGTGAGGGATGGTGCCCTCCGCAGGAGACGTCCCAAGAACGTTCTTCTTGATCCCGACGACGAGATCACTTCTTTGAAAAGGTCGATCCCGTCCCCCCCCCCCCCTCCACAGGAGAGGGAACTAGTTCAGTTAACATTAACACACACACACACACACACACACACACACACTCAGACACTACTCTATACAGAACACTAGGGCACACCGCGTTTGCCGGCGAACGCGTCGTCACAGACACACCCCGTACACGAGGTTCAACACCCGTGATATAGGGCGTTTCTAATTTTGCGACCCGTAAACAAATTTGCTATAGTGATTCAAGCCGAGGTTCGTACCTCCTTCTGAGGGGCCCGGCCGCCTCGCCGCCGGCAGAATCGTTGCACTCAATAGTTCGTAAGTCCTCACTTACGAGCCTAATTAGATGAAGCTGTCAAGGCCGCAGGACCAACCGCGTACACATTCAGAAAAAAAAGACCGGGAGAGTATTGAATTGGCGATATAAGCGAATACTTCGAAGTGATAACTGCGAACTAAAGTGATCAGTAGTACAATTGTGTTTTATTATTAGTGTGTTTTTAAGTTGTAATTAGTGTTCCGTAATTAAAGTGTCAATTTTGGTAATTCAATCGGCAGTTTTTAATTGTCTCGAACCCCAAGCTCGTAACAATTGGTGTCAGAAGTGGGATCCAATCATGCCGATTTTACCAAAGGACGACATGGAGGGTATCCGTACCCGAAGTCAACGCCAGCTGGAGACGGACCAGAGACGATTTGGTAATGCAACGCCGCAAACGTCGGAGGGCCAGCTGCTGACCACGGAGGCTGGCCCGTCAGCAGCTCCTGCATCTGCAGCACCTGACTTAGGTGCTCTGATTATGATGCTGCAGGAACAGGCTCGCCGAAAAGAGGAACAGGTCCGCTGACAGGAGGAACAGGTCCGTCGGTTGGAAAAGCAGCTGCAGCGCGGACAGGACGAACAGGCCCGCCAACAGAAGGAACAGGCCCGCCAACAGGAGGAACAGGGCCGTCGGTTGGAAGAGCAGCTCAAACGCAATAAGAAAGAGCAGATATTTCTCATGAAGGACCTTCACGCTACCTTTGAGAAAGAGATAAGGGAGGTTAAGGATAAGGTTGCTCAATATGACAACCGCTGAAAAAACCGCTGTCGGAAGCTGAAACCCGAATCGACCAAGTGTACAATTGGGTTGACAACGTGATGGCTGACGTGAAGAAAACGCTGGACGCCTTCAAACTTGGGGATGGAGTTACAGCTCCCGTGGTAACTACAACACCTTCGCTACGTGGATTCAAAGTGCCGCCGTTCGACGGGACTTCTTCCTGGTCGGCCTACAAAATCCAGTTCGAGGCTGTCATGAAGGCGAACGGCTGGAATAAAAGTCAGGCCATGACTGCTCTCACCCTAGGCCTGCGCGACCAGGCCTTAACTGTTCTGGAAGCTCTCGGTAAGGAAGTAGCTTACGAGCAGCTCCTTGAGGCATTGGAGACGCGATATGGTGACGCTCATCGGAAACACGTCTTTCGTGCGCAGCTCAAAGATCGCGTGCAACGCAGTAACGAAAACCTGCAGCAGTGGGCCCTTGAGGTGGAGAAGCTGCTTTAAAAAGCATACCAGTCTGTACCTGCGCTCATTGTAGGGAACCTGGTGCACACATTTATCGACGGCATCCGCGACCTTGAAGTCAGAGCTGCTGTGAGGCTCGAACACCACGAGACGCTTAAGGACGCCTTGATCCATGCACTGGAGATGGAAGCCGTGCGGCAGGATCATCGTTCCCATCGCGTCAGGGAGGTTGCAGCAACTACAGTTCGGGACCGCAATAACGGCTACAGCCCCTTGGTCCCTTTCCCCACAGCCGTAGCACTAAGTGCTACGGCTGTGGGGAAAGGGGCCATCTTCGATCCAGCTGCCCTAAGAGAACTGTAGAAAGGGCAGGTGATCGATTTCGAGAAGGTAGTGCGGCTAATAGCACCGCCCAGCAGCAGCAGGGAAACGATTAAAAGCCAGGACAGCGGGGCGGGTGCTGGCTGATGTTAAAAGAGCCCCAAGAATTTTGAGCTCACAAACCCATGATGGGAACAGCCTAATCATCAAGGGCGAGGTCAACGGAACGCCGTGTAAACTGACCATAGACACTGGAGCCTTTCGCACGGTTGTCAGTTACCAACTTATAAGTCAGTTCCTTGGGGACTCCGCATACAACCGAGAACGCATTAATTTGGTGACAGCCACCGGTAAGCGCATACCCGTCCGTGGAGAGAAGGAGATGGAGTTGAAGCTAGGCAACATGATCTACCTGCATAATGTCATCGTGGCTGATATAATGGACGACTGCATCCTGGGCCTAGACTTTATGAGGAAGAATTTTTGTGAGATCGACGTTAAGCAAGGTGTTTTGAAATGTGGACAAGAGAAAATGTTCGTGGAAGGGGCGTTACCAGGGAATGTGTACAGCCTTAAGAATATTGTTCTTCCGCCGAGATCGGAAACGATTGTGCCGGTTAGACTTCCTCGGAATCCTGGGCAAACTCTTCGTTGTGTACTCGTGGAAAGTGTAGACAATGACCTTCCATGGAAAGTAGTTTGAACCTTGGTCAGAACCGCCGACATCTCAGGAGTGCGTGTGCTGAACCTTTGTGATCAGGTACAGATTATAGAAAAAGGCACATTGGTTGGTACTAGTGAGGAAGTGGATTGATTGCGTCGGTGCCAATGCCAATATCTATCGACTGGGAACCCCAACAAGGATGGACAAACGAGAGTGACCACACTTTTAGAAGACTGTCGCAGCGTTCACTCCCCGAATGAAATGGTCAAGAGGAAGAAGTTGTTACTCAATATATCTTCTCGAAGCAACAGATACCCTGAAAAGCTTTTAATTGACACACTTCCTAGATTAACTAAATATAATAAAAGCTGTCTATACATGTGTGTCAAAATATATAGTAAAATTCCTCAGCATATTAAAGCACTATCTTTCTCAGGATTTCGAAAAGGCCTCTATGATCTTCTCGCAGAAAGAACTTTTTATAGCGTCAAAGAATTCTTAGATTATAAATTTGACAAATGATACCACTACGATTTCACAAATCATGGATATTTTTATTTTGTTCAATAATAATTAACCATTATTTTGACATTTTATCCCATTTAGTAATAATTAATAATTGTCTGATATTTCTATTATATTTAATAATAATTAATAATTATCTAATGAGTCATTATGTATAAATTTTAATTTCAATGTATCCTTTAATATTTTGTAATTAGTAAAAAGTAACAGAATTAACCACAGACTTAAATTTGATATTTGTATGCCTCTATGTAAGCGGTGAAACATGTTTGGCCTAAAGTATATGTAATTAACAACTGTATTTACCATGTTTGATGCAAATAAAAGTTTTGAATCTTGAATCTCAAGTACGCCGATGTTTTCTCGTCAAACGAAGCTGACATAGGAAAGATTGGCTTAGTTCAACACAAAATAAACACAGGAGAGGAATTCCCTATTTGTCAGCGGCCAAGAAGATTGCTTGTAGCACGTGAAAAGGAAGTGGAAACCATGATTGAGTGAATGGTGAAGGATGGTGTTATTGAACCTTCATCTAGTCCATGGTGTTCACCTGTGGTGCTGATAAAGATGAAGGACGGCAGCATGCGGTTTTGTGTTGACTACCACCGTCTGAACGACGTTACGAAGAAGGACAGCTATCTCTTGCCAAGAATTGATGACACGCTGGACATGCTTATAGGCATAAAGTGGTTTAGTACGCTGGACCTGAAAAGTGGCTCCTGGCAGGTTGAAATTAACCCTAAGGACAAGGCGAAAACTGCATTCTCCACGGGAAAGGGTCTGTGGCAATTTAAAGTCATGCCGTTTGGATTGTGCAATGCTCCAGCAACGTTTGAAAGGTTGATGGAGCTTGTACTTACCGGGCTAATTGGAGATGCCTGTCTGGTCTACTTGGATGACATCATCATCGTAGGCCATACGTTTGAGGAATACTTTCAAGACCTGGAACGCGTTCTCATGAAACTCCAGAGTGCCAACCTCAAGTTGAGTCCTAAGAAGTGCTCACTATTCAAACGGCAAATTAGCTTATTGGGGTATGTAGTGTCGGAAGAATCCGCTCGGATCCAGAGAAAATTGCCGCTGTCAAGGATTGGCCGGTTCCAAAAGACAAGACACAGGTTAGAGCATTTTTGAGTTTGTGCTCTTATTATCGGCGATTTGTGAAGAACTCTGCAGATATAGCCAAACCTCTGCACAAGCTTACCGAGGAGATGCGACATTTCTGCTGAGATGAAAGTATTGCGATATTGCATTTCAGGAGTTCAAGAACCGTCTGTGCAAAACACCTATTTTGGGATACCCTGATGCGGGCAAGGAATTTATAGTTGACACAGACGCAAGTGATATTGGGCTTGGCGGTGTGTTGTCTCAACGGAATGGTGATCAAGAGATTGTGATAGCGTACTTCAGCAAGTCGATGTCAAAGCCGGAAAGTAACTATTAAGTCACAAGACGGGAATTGCTTGCTGTGGTAAAGTCTTTGCAGCATTTTAGCAAATATCTTCTGGGGCGGAAATTCCACTTACGAACTGACCGTGTTGCACTGAAATGGCTATTGCAGTTCAAAAATCCGGAAGGACAAGTTGCCAGTTGGATTGAACTACTGCAGGAATACGACTTTGTGATCGAATATCGCAGCGGGAAATCTCATGGCAATGCAGATGCATTGTCAAGAAGACCTTGCCCTGAAGATTGCAAGCATTGTACTAGGTAAGAGGGTAAGGAAGTGGTATCTGTGAGGATGCTCAGGACAGACCAGCTCAGCAGTGAGTGGAAGGACAGCCTACAACATGCACAGCAGGAAGATTCGGACATTAAGCCGATTCTGGAATGGATGAAGGTCAGTGCTCCTAAGCCCAAGTGGAGCGACGTCTCAGCGATGAGTTTAACCACGAAAAGCTATTGGGCCCAATGGGACAGCTTGCTGATTCAGGATGGGGTCCTGTGCCATAAATGGGAAAATGGTCTGGGAGATAGTTGTCATTTGCAAATTGTTGTCCCTAAGGCTAAAGTGCTGGATGTTCTACAGCTGTACCATAGTGGTGGTTCAGGAGGCCACCTGGGAGTTAAACGAACTCTACTGAAGATCCGAGAACGGTTTTACTGGGTCCACTATCGTGACGATGTCGAGGACTGGTGCCGCAAATGTACAAGTTGTGCGGCTGTAAAGGGACCTCAAATTCGTAGTAGAGGCGCATTGAAATTGTACAATGTTGGTGCACCATGGGAGAGGATAGCCATTGACGTTGTGGGGCCGTTCCCGGAAAGTGAAAGTGGTAACAAGTATTTCATGGTTGTGATGGATTACTTCACTAAGTGGCCAGAAGTCTTCACCATTCGAAATCAAGAAGCTTCAACAGTTGCAGATAAACTAGTTCATGAAGTGTTCTGTCGTTTTGGAGTACCTTTAGAGATTCACAGCGATCAAGGAAGGAATTTTGAGCCTCATATATTTCAGGAAACTTGCCGAGTTATGGGCACTCATAAAACAAGAACAACTTCTTACCACCCACAATCTGATGGAATGGTAGAACGATTTAATCAGACATTGGAGAGGTACCTAGCTAAAGTTGTGGAAAACGGCAACGAGACTGGGACAGGCACATACAGCCGTTTTTGTTGTCATATCGAAGCGCTGTTCACGAAAGTACATCAGTGACACCAGCTTTCGCAAACTTTGGGAGAGAATTACGGCTGCCCGCAGACCTGATAACCGGAATACCACCTGATGCCCCCCGCAGTATAACCGATTATGCAAATGACTTGCGGAACAAAATGAATGACATTTATGAGCACATCAGACAGACGGGCCATCAAACGTCTGAGAAGATGTAAACACGGTATGACCGCATAATGAACAACAAAGGGTTTGACGAAGGTTCACTAGTGTGGTTACACAATCCAATTCGCAGTAAAGGGAAATCTCCTAAGCTTCAAGCTAAATGGGACGGACCGTACCGGATTGAGACAAGGATCAATGACGTAACATACCGGATACAGAAATGTGCCAGAGGTACTCCTAAGATCGTCCATGTGGATCGACTGGCGCGTTATTATGGGGCCAATAATGATCGGGTCTTAGGAGGAGGCAGTGTTGCACGCCACTATTAATGTCTTGTACATGGCAACACTAGTTATTCCTAGCGCCCTCTAGTGTCGAGTAGTAGAACTAGGAGAGTCAAGATCCTTCTAGAAATTTCGGGACCGATATTTACTCGAACATTCTAGATGTCGCTACAGTAGAAGGTTCTGGAAATTATCTGAGGCCCTATATAAGGCCGGTATAGACCACGACCGGGAGAGTATTGAATTGGCGATATAAGCGAATACTTCGAAGTTATCACTGCGAACTAAAGTGATCAGTAGTACAATTGTGTTTTATTATTAGTGTGTTTTTAAGTTGTAATTAGTGTTCCGTAATTAAAGTGTCAATTTTGGTAATTCAATCGGCAGTTTTTAACTGTCGCGAACCCCAAGCTCCTAACACTATTAATATTTAACGTATATCTAATAACTTCATTGCGTTGCTAGCGAGACGTTTTCCTAGCAACGCAAATTTCAACAGTTCGTTGCAGTGAAAACTTTAGAGCACCTCATTTTTATACTTGGCACCTAATTAGCACCTAAAAAGCCCCTAATTTTGGGTTTTTCTATATGCAAATTCCTGATTTTGTGTTGCTGGCGATACACAACTGTTTGTTTAAAATTTGCTGTCTTTCATATTTATAGTACTTTTTCGGAAGAGCCTGTTCATTTACTCATGTCAGTTATGAAACCGGGACTATCACAAAAATCTAAATAGGTAGGTATGTCTGAAAATAATTATGAAAGCTATCTTAATATAAGACAAACTGTTTTATAAGTCTCACTGAAAGTAAAAAAGTAAAGAAGCAGCTTACATACATATTTCTTACGACTGTGCACAGGGCTGCAAATTAACCATGTGCAAAATAGTGGTTTCACATGTCCACGATTTTTTTTAAAACTACTTAGACATCAAGGTTTCGCCGCCATTCTTTAACACTTCCCTGAGCATGTGGAAAATAAGCAAATAAAATTTCCTTACCAGTATCATTAGTTCTCGCGGAAATCGCACACTTTTGTTCCTGTGCTTTGAAACCATACGGCGAACTACACGGTTCTTGGCTAACGGTTTTGGTAATTTTACATATAGATTAGTGATTGAAATAAAAACCTTATCAATTTCATATTTTTGATAGACGTCACTATAATCTATTGAAATTATTACACTTTTAAAATAAAAAGAATAATACTGAAAAACTAAAAAAATTTAAAAATCTACATAATTATTTAAACATATAAATGTAAGTTATTTATATTATTTAATTTATTAATAACTGTAAGCAAAATATACTACTTTTTCCATTTGATGATAGATGGCGCTATTTTGATAACTAAATCGGTGTAGTTTCAAATTATTTTACCAAGGTTATAACTTTATCTTAAACTTTATTTATAAATCTGGTATTTATTTGAAAAACACTCGTAATCCCGCCTATAACTAAGATATAATAGAAAATTAATATCTAAAGGAAGGAAAATACTTAATCTTCTTTTTTGAAAGTTCCGTAATCGGATAAAAAGTAGCCTATAGGTTGCTCCGGGTTACTAACTAACTACATACAAAATTCAATATACATATCTAGAATATACAGACAGAGAGACATAAATTCTAAAAACCACTAATTTGGCTTCACAACCCGTTATTTAGTCCCCTGGACTTGTTTTTTCTAGAATATCTTAGAATTACCGACACGCCTTTTCTACAGATTTATTATATGTAGGTATAGATAAATAAAACTTTTTTATAGATTAGAAATTAAACTTAGAAAGAAGTGGGAAAGATTGAAGAATTTTGGCATTCTGACAGCAAGCTTTGTTGAAACTTCTAAATTTAAAATTTGTTAATAAAAGTGGTCATGAATGTATCATGCCCAGTATAAAGAACTGAATGAGTACCATAAAAATTTCCATGAAATTGTGGCGGGTTTTATCCAAGAAAATGATAAAAATTATAAGATCCCGCTATATAAATTCGGATGCAATCGAAAATATTTTCGGTCCAATAAGATCATACAATTTTAGGGACCATGACCCGACTTGCCACTATTTCATAAATCCTTGTAAGTCTTTATTAATTACAGGATTCATTCAGTTTTATCGCTCATCTTTTAATTGTGAAGATGATGTTAGTGCACAATTATTAAAAATAAAGAGCCTGTTTAAAGGCCATGAAAGAGAAGTGAGTAACGAAAGTGGTGAAACTGGTAAATCTTATATTGATACTTATATTGATACTTATTATTGTAAAGTTTAAATTAGGACTGTATGATAATTAAGTTATTAGTTTTAGTTTTTTTATTATAGTTTTTTTAAATGTGTATATTAATAAGTTAATTATTAAATTTGTAAACAAAATTATTGTGAAGTAAAAATTAATAACTAGGTAATAAAAAAAATATTAAATTTCAACATTGTTTCATTTGTATTTACCTCGTTTTATTTTCAATATAATAAAATTAATTTTGCAAGTGGCTATTATTTGGGACGTCCTTTGTCTGGTATAGCTGCTTTAAATTAAAAAAATGTCACATATCATTTTGCTACAACCAATCAGAATGCAGAAGCTAAGTCGAGTACGTTTAGTTCGTGAGATGTCCGTCTGATTCGGGTAGAATCTACTAGTTAGTCTGTGCTATTTACATAAACATTTTTATTACGTCGTTTGCCTAAAACACACTAGCCTTTACTGCGTATGCAAAAATACTCTGTGGTATCCAACTTGAGGTTACGCGCGATTGTAGGCATTTATTTCACGCAAGAATAGTGTGCTTGTTAAATAAACATTTTTCTATTTTACCATAAGAATTATATAGTATTCTATTTTATTCTTATGGTATAATTTTATTAAAAAATAGTAAGAATAAAAAAATATTTAAATTTCTTATTTTTACTATTTCTAAAATTAAATCCTTAGAATAAAATCCAGCTAAAAAAAGGAATCCCACATAAAGCTAAATTAGAATTATTTATACATAAAGAAGTTATTGGAATATATAATCTAATTCTGTTCAATTATTTTCCAATGCTCAGTTCGACACAAAGGACAGTTGCCCTGTTACAATGCAATATGGTTGCTTTTCCCTACTTTTATAGTCAGTGATTTTTGACCAAACATAAACAACCTTATTACGTAGAAACAAGTGTCAAATCCTGAATTAAGAAGTTTTGAACTATCAGTAGAACCAGCCGTAATACCGTCTTGTTGAACACAAACACACACAGAAATGGCAGCTTTCAGTGACAGAACCATAGTTATAGGTAGTGATTAAAACTATTGTCACTAGGGTAATCTAGGAGTATACTCGTAGGTCTCTTTCCACCTTAATCTCCAATTTAAAGTCCAAATCTCTTCACATTAATCTCGCTGCCACTTTAATGGTGAAATACAGAATGTACTAGTTTTAAGTTTTTATTTATGCATATTAGCTATGTAAGAAGTGTATGTTATGGCTTCTTGTAAGGAAACAACACAATAACTTGATCGACATTATTTCTTGTTTGATAATTATTTATGTATGTTGCCCATGCACAACTTTTCTATCTTTCATTTCTCTTCTATATATTTTCTGTGTGTACAACATAAAATATTGTGTAAGACGTCCTTAATGATTTTTTTATAGGATAGGGTGACAAACGAGCACACAGTCCACCTGATAGTAAGTGGTTGCTGTAGCCCATAGACATCTACATCTATCCTCGTTTGCGAATCAAAACGCAGATGCGTTGTCACCCGTGAGGACTAAGATGGAATGCCTCTTTTCCAGTAAAAAGGGTCTCCGGTTCTCTACACTCACCATACTAAACACAGCAGCGTTAAGCTGCTATTTTACGCTGGTATTCTTTGAGAGCGTCGTCCTTCGCCGGTTGAGCCGACCCATTCGTGCTACAACTATACCAGTAATATAGCTGCAGCATGGCTCTACCACGTATATCTTATTAATATAAAAAATAGCTAATAGTGCAGAAAGAAACAAAAACCCTTTACATTTTCCGAACAAATTAACTTCCCCGCTATGAAATCTGTCAAATATTATACCTTCATGTATATTTTCTCTGCCTTCATTTTCTAAGGGCGCCGCCCTGGTGACAGAAGAAGTAGTGGATGCCCTCATTAAGTTCGGCCACGTACATACGGAATTTCGTTTCGTGATTTCGTTTCGGAAGGGTCAGTCGAGAGATGTTAGCCATTGAGTTTAGATGTTCTGCCAGCGAAAAATGACGACGATTTTCTAATTGCGATTCCATTGCTGCTGTATTATTCTTACTGGGTGCATCCTCTTAACACCGTAAGCTTTCAATATAGTCAATATTATGTAAAAAGATCTATTCTATCCAGAGATATTATTTAAATATGGATGTCTGTAAATTCTTTCGACGAATTATTAAATAAAATAAGATGAAAGGTTACGAAAAGCTATAAAATTAAATGTAAAAACATACATAAACACACCTACTCGCTTCGGTCGTGCGACGAATACCATATCATTCCCTATATATAATGTACTCTGTGACGAATACTGAGCGCGTTCCGTACGTAATTTACATATGTGTGTTGCGACTCGTACAAAATCTATGGAAGACTTGCGTTCGGGATTCCGAACGCACAGGCGGTCATACGGAATCTCGAATCGGAGAAATTGTGTGGCGGGTCATAGATTTTATATCAACTTGCTGCGTTCAGAATCCCGAATCGGAATATCGAAACGAATGCCGAAACGGAATTCCCTATGTATGTGGCCGGCTTAAAAAGGAAAAAAGTACCTACTCTTTGTTAAACTTAGAGTTAGATTTAGAATTGCCAATTTATGGGGATTTTTCCAAACTGGGAAAATGAGGCTATTGGGTATTTTGCGGGGGGAGGCACCATATGGGGATTGTGGAGGATTTTAAAAATATTAATTTTGCTGTTTGTTATTAATCAATATTCTTCATTTTTTGTAAAGAAATGTTCTTATTTTATGGAATAATTTTAAGAGGATTTTGTGGGGAATCAGGATTTGTTCCCCAAATTTGAGGATTTTGACTATTAATTTTGGGGAACCTGGGAAATTACCTATATTGTTAACACTGGTAGTGTTCGATCCTCTTTGCTCTATTGTAATAACACAGAAATTTAGTCTATGGTTGTTTTGAAGCGGTACGGTGATAAATTGACAAGTGCGCAAAGTGTAAAGTAAATGGTTTGTTTGATTTTCTTTGAAATAATTTAGGAAAATAAATAAATTTCACTTACGAATAAATATTAAACTTAATTTGTTTCGATATTTCCGTTACTTTATCATAACGTTGAAGTGTACTTCTTTGTTAGTCGGCTTTACAAAATCTTGTTTTGCTTCATTGATTCATATTCATTTATCGATTGTGAATTTACTGAAAATTTATTTAAACCAAGTCTAGAAGTGTAAGCTTTTAATTATAAGTCATAGGTTATGCCATTTAAATTTCTTACCATGTTTATATAAATATTTTATTGTTTCATATTTGTGCGCGTATTGGTGTGTGTATTTCGGAATTTTAGTGTGCAAACTTTTGAGAACTATTCCGTATGCTGTTCCGCTAATTGCAAGATCAGTGTCTATAGGAAGAAAATCCAATATCATGTAAGTAGTCAATTATATTGCTTTTCTGAAGTTTCAGGGAGCATGGTTGACTTGATATATTAATTCTCTTTTGTTTCTGACTTATTATAATCTCAGTAGTAGTTACAACTTTTTAATTGGGTTTTCATATGCATTTAACAGCTCGTCTTTTTGTCATATTAAGCTAATAAATTTCATAGAACAAATTTTTACTTAATTAAACACAGGCCTATATCTGTGCTATACAGGGCTGAATTTAGGGAAAGGCAGCAAAGGCTAAAAGGTCTCCAGCAACATAAAGGCAACCGCAAAATAAGTTGTTCTTAATATGGTAAAAACTGTAAGCTTGTCATTTGATTTTTTGGTACAAAAATGTGTACTGTGCTGAGACAAATTCTAAAAAAAATATACTCCAGGAGCCTGATTTTATCTGATTTTGAAGGATTCAAGTTATGATGAGACCATTTGTCACACAACATAATTTACTTTTGCTTATTACATGTAAGTTACAGTATCAAAATGAAATAATTTTATTTGCCTGGTGTTTACAACTTTAAAGCTCAATAACTCAGAACTTTTAAATCAAGCCCTGCTGTTGTACTACATTTGTTAGAAAATGCTGAGTCTTAATCTCTAGACAGTTTATTTGGTTACTGTTATTTTTACTTTATTTTTACATTTTATAATAATAGAAATTGAGACTACATAATTAAGTTGAAAGATTTTGCTTGGTAAAATCCTATTCATGTGGAGACTAAGATGCAATTTTATAATTTATTAATATAGATGTACAAATTACAATACATACTGCTTGCATTCATTAGAATATGCTCAAAGTAATCTGAGTGGCATTATATTTTACAGCATTACATTTTATATTTCATTGCATTATCATGGCGTTATATATAATATATATCATAATATCCTATAAAATAAGAAGTACTGTGCCTAGGCATAGAATGTTTATAGGCTTTTTCTGTCTTAACACTTTGACAGCCCATCACAACCCTGGGTTGTGACACTCAGTTTTGCTCCATATGTCGATCATGACGCCAGCGCGTCATCAGTATTCCTTTATTTTATTCTAAAAATTAAAGGAATTTCGGCGTCGGTGGTTGTTGTATTGGGTAGCTACATTATTTAGCTATACACACATAGGATTCATTTACGTAAGGAGGTGCAGTGTGGTGCAAAGGAAGGGAGTGCAAGAAATGTGTTAAGCCGCCCGGCAAGCAATCGTGGACACGTAAATGACCAACCCTTGTCATATTATTCCCTTCACAGGAAGTCCATGAAATGGTGGAAGAAGATGTTCTTTCATTAAGTGGCTAGAGCAATGGTAAATGTGTACATAATTTATTATAAATCAGGCACGGAGTACAAAATTTTCGCAGTTTCTAAACACTCCTGGGGGATGTACGGTCTGATGGAGCTGATAGTGCTGCTGGACCATCTCATGGTCCACATCCCACTCCGAAGTTTACCAGGTTGGTGGATAGACACTTCCATATGCAAAAACCGCCGACTGAGATAAACACAATAGTCACACGAGTCTGCAAGGTTTGCGCGGTCACTATGAAAAAACAGACAGGCAAGAAAAACTTCATTTTACTGTCCAGCATGTAATATTCCACTTTGCCACTATCCCTGCTTTGAAAAGTATCATAATAAAAAAGATTTCACAGTGTAGGACTGAAAAATATCACATAATCACAGACTTATATTTATGTAAGTTTTTTTTTGTATAGAAAATAGGTATTATTGTTTTGGATTTTTTAAATAAAATAAAAAATAAATTAACGTTGTTTTATTTTTTATTATAAAAATAATTTAGTTTTTCTAGCATGTTATATAAAAAGAGGCAAATGTATTACTATTTTAGTTTTAATTTTTTAATAAAACTTACAAAAATGCTGTAAATGGCCAGAGTACAGGGGAATGTGCACTACAAAATGCTTGGCTGTCAAAGTGTTAATATTATAAAGGGGAATATCTTAAGGAATTTGCATGCTATGGATTATTGTATTGTTACTCAACTTGTGGTTGTACCTATTTTGACAATAAAGACAATATATTATTATACAGAGGTTCTAATTTTTAACAAAATATGAATATTTAATAAAAATATTATTAACTAACAACATTGCTCCTTATCCTTAACTAATTAATAGAAACCATTGTTCCAATCTAACATGAAAACTTTTATCATTTTAAAAATCAAATATCATTATTTTTGTTAACTCGTAAGTAAACATTGATGTAATGAAACAAAATAACTGATACCAAAATTGTAAATTCTGATTCTACTCACAATGATCATAGTACAAGAGAATATTATTGGCTTAAAGACAGTTTGTTTACAACTCATTTTAAAACCTTATCTTGAAGAGGTTATCACTCATAGCAAGCTATCCTTCTTTTAGAGCTCTTTTCTACAGATAGTCCATCACAACCTCAGTTCTTTTTAACATTATCTATTTGTTAACTTAAGTATGATCTATAAACAATATTCTATATTGTTTTTCCTATGAATTATTTATGTATAAAAGCATAAAAAACATTGGCTATTTCTTAGGTTGATATATATATGTAATGTCCTATAAATGGAATTTTGTCCACCAGTCTTTGTCGAGACTAACTAGTTGTGCAGGACAGGAATATAGTTAGAGTATGTGCAAGCACAGGTGCACTCTCTTTTTCTTCACTAACATACTCCAATGGAATGGCAATCTAACATAACTGGAGAGAGATCAGAAGTAATCTTCAAGTGGTTTCTAAAGCATGAATGTGAAACACTGCCAATTTCCTGACTGTAGGCTGCTACTGAGTTTTTTTACAAAAAAACCAATAACTGATTTCTGGCCAGACTTGGGATTTGAACCTAGGAATAGATAAATATGTAATTGGGTAGAGTTCCGTTCTAGGGACACCTCCGATTTGGACCAACATTTTTTTACTTGTTTACCAACATAAATTATGAAAAACCCCAAAGGGATTTTTGGCGCAAATGCCCCTGAATTGTTTTACGTGGGTTTGAAGTTTAAGATTTTTAGTTTATTTTCCATTTTAACAAAAAATAGCAATCATCCAGTCGCCGAATCTTCACTTTGCAGTGACTCAGCAAAGTGATCATTGTAGGTATGTATGTATTGTATTGCACTTGCACATCATTGTGTTTTTTTTTGTACTCTTGTTCTCTCAACTAACAAAATTACGTAGCTTGTATTTGTTTTAATTAAAATGTCTAATGATAAGCAACCATTGCTGTTAAATTGGAAAAATATATAGAAGATTATCTAAACCAGTTGTTGAGTACAGATGGTAAACTGCTGTTTTGTAATACCTGTGAAAAAATCTATATTAACTAAGCAACATTTAAAAAAATTGTAGCAAATATCGCAGTACACAATATACAGCAAACAAAAGGTTAATGTCACAAGGATGAATTAATACAAACAACAATTTTTTTGAGTTCATTGTTAGTGGATCTTAATGTTCTACTTTTCAAGATTTGTGCTATGCAATGATATGTATGTGCAGACATTTCTTTATGGAAATTAAATAATCATTAATGTAAGAATTTCCTAGAAAAGTATTCTGTCAGGTATATTGATACTGATGAATCCTAACTTAAAGGTCTACATCAAAAGCATTTTATTGCACCAGATTAAGGGCATTGCGAAACCCATCAACATTACTGAACGGCAATTTAAAGATTATTGAAACAATAGAAAGGAAAATAACTGAAGCACAGGGCTCCATTGCTGAGGTGGTTAAACAAAAATAAAGCTATTGGGGGGAAAATAATAAATTTAATATGTTGTGGAATGTTGTGAGTTTAATTATACATTAGTCACTGTGATGTTGAAAACCATTATAATAGCATTGTTTCAACAAAATAGGAAGAGTTTTAATTTTGAAAATTTAAAAAATCATGTTATGTATAATAACAACATGTATTATTACAATAATGTAACAAGCTAAACCAACATTGTTTTGATTTTACACAATAAAAGTGTTTTACTTAAAATTTGATGTTATTTTTAAGTTCATATATTTTTCATATTTTAAATTTTTCAGACAAAGTTAACCTAGAGTTTTTATAAAAGCGCTTTAAAAAACTAGGTTGCATTTACTATTTAATATAAGTTCACAAAATGTGAATTGTTTTATGTATAAGAATATAAGTGTAAAAATAATAGATCACACTTATTTTGCGGATTTAGTTATTTATACACTTAGTAAAAATTGACTACGAATGACATAATGATTTCTTATATTTACGCGAACAGTTTTTTATAGTATGTTTGTTATAGTAAAATAAACGCGATAAAATCCGTAAAAAACAGTTTTATTCAATACTGAATGACATGTTCCATTGCTTAAACATAATTTCTTCATTAAAAAAATATGTCGCAGATGTTAAAGAATATTTGTAAAATATACTCTACGACTTTATATAACGCGTTGTTGGAAGGAATCAGTGCACTTGGCTTGCGCGGTCGTGCTCCAAAACTAAAGTGTTGTGACTAAAGAGACAACCACCAATTTGATTTCCCATCCAGCCATATTGCGTAGTGTGTAGCCTGGTCGGCCGCAGTCAGTCCAACCATAATTATTATTAATACTCTTTGGGCACGATGGGTCGCCAACGCTGTTACCAGCCAAAACAGCCCGTGTGTTTTTAATAGCAGTGGTGGCAAACGAGTATGCGGCTCACCTGATGGAAAGCGTCGATTGCCGCTCACGAACAACTGCAATGCCAGAGGAATTGCATGTTCTTTTAATAAGAAGTAAGCTCGTTTCTTGAAGGTCCCTAAGTTGTTTCGGTCGGCCCAATCAAATTACGCTCGGTCAGTATTCATACGCCGAGGAGGACGATTGCTTGGCTCTTACAATGCCACCAATCATTATTCTGGAGTAACAGTTTGCCTCATATCTGTAGTTAGTTAGTTTGCAACGGGTTATTTTCCGCGACTTCACGTCCAAAATGGTTTTTACGCGTGTGTGTGTGTGTAGTAATGATATCTGTAAGTGGCGACCTCCTGACATATGAGCGGCATGTGTGCTGACTTTTCTGCGCTGTTAGTTCCTCACGATTAAGATGGAGTGCCCCTTTACTAGTAAAAGTTTTCTATCTTACTTAACTTATCATCAGCAGCAATTAGTTCATATTTCACGCGCGAGGAAGGACCACTTTATTACCGAATGTGGGAGCGTGGTCCTTCCTCGGTCAAATCGATCTCAGTTGTGCTGCAGCTAATGTAGCTGCAGTTTGACTTTTCTACTTATTTAAACACATAATATTTAAATCTGTTGTGTAGTGGCGTTGTAAAAGAATCCGCTGCCTCGTATCTTTCTGTGGGTGTCATAAGGGAAACTGAAACAGGAGATAGGTAGCAGAATCTTCCTGATAACAGCTCAAAATAATTGGACGCCAAACCACCTGCCAAGCGTGGCAACAATGACAAATATCCTATGATACAGTCTATAGGGGAGGTCTATATTCAGCTATGACCTTTTGATAGCCTATAATGAATGAATGAATTAGCTAACCACGGCGCTTGCTATTGTTACTTTTGCGCGTTTTATAGTGAGGCATGCAGTTATAGGGACACCACCCAGCGGCTGGCCGAATTGGTTGGTCCTAGCTAAATTGTTTCGTTGTAGGGGTAGAATGACAACCTGTCTATCATTAACTCGTTTCTATTCGTAATTACTGACTTATCAATTACAGCAATTATTGAGGGTAGCAAAAGATATACTCCTACCCAAAGATGTCGGTACTAGTTAACAACAAATTAAAATCGATACAGCCATTGAGACGAGTGCGTTCTCGCGCGCCTCTGAATGTTAACTCAAAAATTTTGATGCTTGGCCTCTGTTTGTTTAACAATAACGAACAAAATAACAACGCTTAACCAGTGTTAGCAAAGGCGGATGTAGCTACAAGTCAAATTGATCAAGATGACCGTGATACATCATCAGTTTCACTCATGTTTATCGAACCCTTTGGGAGAATTAGTTTAGGACTTTACCCACTCATACAAATCGTAACAGCTAGTGCCATAATAGTCAATCATCTTATTTACACACAATGAGTATGGCTCGGTACATTGGCTGGTAACAATCGTTTGTCACCCATGTCGTCATCGTCACCTGTGATACGATCTATCGAGATTACGTACCACAGTTCATTTAATTTTTACGATTACAAAATTAATCATAAACAGTCCTATCCTAATGACATGTCATCGACATGAACGCCACACCATCGAATCCATCCATCATGAGCTACAGCTACAGTATGTCTGTTGATATGGTGAAAACAGAAAATAAAATGAAGTAAACAACGCTACATTTTAACATGACTTAATATCCTCCGATTTACTCTGGTTATTTAAATAAAATAAGGTTTTCAGGCATTTCTATTAAATGATTAGAAAGTTATTCACTACAATAATGTTTTCTTAAAGCAATGTTTATGATAAATTTGACTAGATAGTCCATGAATTAACTGTTTTCGCAATGGCGATTTGTTAGTCGCAACGGCGGCAATTTATTTGCCTGTAGTGTCCAATGAAGCCTGTATATTTCCATGTGAGCGAGCACCAGATCATCACACCTTCCATGAAAGCCTGAACCTTGAACCCACACTTTGTCTGCCCCGTAACAGTCGGAGCAACTATG